TCTGTGAAGGTTTAAACGTGCATTTACCTTCGCCATTGATATGTCCTCCTAATAAGTATCATGCAATATTATACCTGTATTTATGTTCTTCTAAAACTGATAAGCCATCCATCAAAATATTTTTTGTCCATTAAAATAACTGTTAGCAAGAAATCTAGAGGGCATATTTTTTTATTATTTATTTATTTATTATTATTTATTTATTATTTTTAGTAACATGAGAGGGCATAAGGAAGGAAAGGATTCTTTTGGAAGTCATACTATCCCTACCCCATGGGTAGTAATTACCATTGCAAACACTAAGATAATGATTATGCATTCTTGCAGGCTCTCTCTCTCTCTCTCTCACACACACACACACACATTATGAGCAGATGTGTAGACTGTTTCCAGTTCTCTTATCTAACTGTAAATCTAATTCTCTTTTTTGTCAGATATGCTTACCACTACAAGATTTTATTGCTGCACTTGTATTCCTATTTAGGTGCCTTTCCAATGGCTTATGAATGGTCAGTACCACATTTATTAACAAGTTATAATCATATGATCAATGCTTTAAAGGGCTTCGAAGGCTTATGCCTTGAGGCTCAACTCGACCGCACAAATTTAGGGTTCACAAGATGTTTCCAATTTAAAATTGAGGCTTATGCCTCATCTGCCTCACCTCTTCAAGAAGAAAAACCTTGATTTAAAACATTGCATATGGTAATTTAGTGCTTTCTTTGTCTCTGGTTTATATACATTTCTTCTTTGTTTAGCTATGCTAGTTAGAGAGTTGACTGTATTTCTTCTTCTAGGTATAAATGTTTAGATGTAAAGAATATCCTGGTGGAAACTGCTACCCACCACATTTTACCCCAGATGTTGGTATCTCCTCTTTGGGTAGATCTAAGTAATCTTTTAAAGGACTACTTGAAGTTTATGGATGACCACTTGAGAGAGTCGGCTGAACATTCATTTCTTGCATATCGCCATAGAAATTATTCGAAAGTAAGTAAAACTATTAGCTTTGTGGATATTATATGCGAAATTTGGCAAGCTAGACCTTCAACTTTTCTCAATTAGTATTTACTCAAGTACAATGCTCTCTGTGTTTTGCATGCTTGAGAATGCACTTGTTTTGCCATGTATTCAGTGTTTTTCTATATTTTCTTAGAGCTATATGCTATTTTTGGGCGTTTTCAACCTTCTCTTGTGCAGATACAGGAATTTTTCACCAATAGTACATTTAATAATATGAGGTGGTTTATTAGATAGAATCTACTACGATCATCTGTTTTGACATTCACTTGATCCCCACGTTTGTGGAATAAAATTCATTCGAACTGATTTTTCTTTTGGAACTTTGCTGTTGTGTCATGCCCGTTTCCACATAGTACAAAATATAAATATCGACTGTATAATTGTTTGATGATCCACCCATATATATAAACGTATTGAGAAATTAGTCAAGATGGTGTAAAATAGTCTAGATACTTCGAATATTTAGATGATTTACCATTTTATAGTTTTACTACATGCTTCATGGATTGAAAGAAACAAGTTCTTTGAAGATCCATTTGGACAGTTAATTCATGTGTGATCCGGAGTAATTTTTCTTTGAAGATCCATTGGAGCAAAAATCATTTGTTTGATTTCTTTTTTACAATTATGTGATCACCATAGGAATTCTTATACTCTGAACTCTTCTATTTTTTTCCCTTTTTTAGTTAACCCGTCCCTTGTAAAAAAATTAATGAATGACATCTTTTTAAGCAATTAAAATATATGATCTGCCTTGGCTTCGTCTAGCATCAGTGTCTGTTATGTAAAGCTCTCACTCTATTGTTCTTCAGGTTGTTGAATTTGTTCAATTTAAAGAACGATTGCAAAACTCCAGTCAGTATCTAGTTGCAAAAGTTGAAGAATCTATTTTACGATTAAAGCAACATGCACATAGCATTGAAGAAGAGGAGGTACTTCTTACATAAGTTGTGTCATCTTATATATAAAATTCATTTGGCCTTGATGTGTTTGAGGCAGACTGATTCAATATTTCTTCTTTCTTTTAGACTGTTCTTGAGAACCTGAAATCTGGAATTCGCTTGGTTGAGCTTTCTAATGAGATCCCTTCTAAACCTCTGACATTCAATGAAGATTTTCAGTCACGTCCGTGGTGGACTCCAACATCAGAAAAAAATTATCTTTTAGGTTGGTATTCTTTTATCTTTTATTTGAGTTAAGTTTAAACTTAACTCAAATGAGCATTATCATTTAGTTTTGCCCCATTGAAAATCACACGGTGCGTAATTTGATAGTAAATTTCTGAGGATAAGTTCATGGGTAAATTTGTGTGCTCCAGGAATAATGGTCTGTTTGCTATTTTAATCTGAAATTTTCCTAATGAAATTGTTTCTTTTTCCAAAAAAATAATTAATAAATAAATAATACTGTAATCTGATTACCGGTACCATTCAAAGAGAAGCAACAGAGTAATCCCGTTTGGCTTGAATATTTATATTCTTTTTTAATGTCAGAATTTGTAGAAGTCTTGTCAGATAAGCAATCCCATGTTCTCTTATTTGTCCGATCTTTTTTTTTTCGTCTTTCATTTCTGATAACATCAGAATCTTGTACACAATTTCATGAACTATGGTGATGGGTATTATTTGTTCTCAGGTCCTCATGAAGAAATTTCCTATCGTGCGAGAGAGAACTTGGTAAGGAATCCTCAACTTGTGTTTTTCGGGCCTTTTGGTTACTTTCTTACCCCACCCCCCCTCAATTACATTTTTTAGTTGTTTCCCGAATTTCCTTTTGAATGAATATATCCGTCACTTTTTCTCACTTCTGTAAAATGTGGTACTAACGTAGAGCCAAGATCTGGAAGCTGGTTTTAGGAGAAATATTGAGAGGAGATCTCTTCTTCCTTGCATGCTTTACCTTTCTGTTCAGAGTGTTTCTACGTCAATCAAGGAAAACTTTGAGATTAGTGGTTCTCTATCTGATCCTAAAATCTCCACGGAGCTAAAAAATTTGCTTGAGCGCTATGCAAAAATGTTGGGATCTACTTTCGAGAATGCAGTTGATCTGGTTACGGGGGTTTCTGATGGACTAAGTTCTTATAAGGTATGTTCTGTTTGTCCTAAACTTAAGAATTTAATGTTGAACTGGTTATATATGTTTTTGTTTGTCTTGTATCATGTCTTGAGCTACAAAGCCTGCTTTGTGTATACAATCAGCGTTATCAATGAAAACGGCGTCTTGTCTGCAAATATTCATATGTGACACTTGGCTTTTGATTGCTCGTCTTGTTAATGTCTGATGGTCTTTAGAATTATGTAAGTTTGAGCATGTGACCTATATTATCTTTTCAATGTTATGGGAGGAAAGTTCAAGTAAAATTGTCTGCTCAATATCAGGTTCGAAGTCTTCACTAGGTTTAGATGCATTAACTCTTAAAATATGCATCTTGACATGGACAGATTTATGCTTTTTAACACCTAAAATATGCATCTTCATTTTAGGTTTAGTATCTTGCTGTCAGTACGTCATAGTGACTCGGTTATCGATCTAGAATTTTGTTATAATCATCATCTTGAGAATATTTTTTTTGCAGGATTTCGGCACCAATTTGGTTGAATGGTTTAATTTTGCTGTGTTTCTAAATGCATGGAACTTGAGTTCTGGTGGATGTTGGTCTCGCACCTGGCATACTGTCGATTCTCTTCTGGAAAAGTACATTTTGGAGGGTGTCGCATCCTTGGAGTCCACAATATTCACTCCTTATGAGAATATGCGCACGCTCGTGCAGGTGGTCTCAGAGCCATTAGCTTGGCATGGCCTTATACTCCAGGCATGCGTTCGATCTTCTCTTCCATCTGGTAAAAGAAAGAAGAAAACAGGATCAGCTGAGCTATCCTCTTCTCCTCTATATCTTGCACTGCGGGATTCAACACAATCTCTGTGTAGTACTCTAGAGGCGATGCTGAAGTGGTTAATCGTCAACCAATCAGATGATGGTAAATTAGAAGCCATACTTTCGTCTATGCAAAACGATGGAAATAATGATGGACCTGGGCAAGTATTTCAGATTCTCGAAACTTCAATGTCGTCCATGGACAGTACAGAACTTGGTCATTGGATTACTGGAGCATTTAAGTGTTGGAATACTGTAGAGGTCGCAAGAAAGCTAGTTACTGGGAAGCATGTAGTGTTAAATGAGTTTATAAAAAATTGTGAATCAAAATTCAAATCAGTTCAGAAATTGAAACAACAATTATCTCAAATCTGAAGGCCTGCTACATTCATTCCCCATTGATGCCACATCGCTTAGGTTGCATTCAGCCAGCCAAAATTCATCTCCGGAAGAATATTGAGTTTCGAGTTGAGTTCTTTTTTTCATTCAAGTCATTATACACCCAAGATTTTGCTCGGCAACAATGATGTGGCGGTGGTTGATCTCGAGTGGGGACTCTACAGTTCGATAGGCTGAAACCAAATAAACAACTTTTTCTTGCTTTATATTTGAGGGGAAGTTTTAGATTGATAGTTTTTAGTACAGATTGTGAGTTTCAGAATCAAGTTCTGTAAGATCCAATTTGTCGTGGGTTTTGGCTTCAGCTCATAGGAGTATAGTCCATAATAGTGTAATATGTCTTTAGAACAAACACGTCCATACTATAACGATGATTGCTGTACCTCCGAATGTTTGATTATAGCCAACTACCTCAACTATGCAACCCAGGGGTGTGCGAGCCCGCCTAGTGCATCCACAGTTGCATGTGTGGATTTACTACACATCTAATTTGTCCAAACTAGAGGCTAGACCATGATTTTAAATGATAGGTCTTTAATCACAATTATTGTACCTCCGACCACAGCTAACTAGACAGACCATGCAAGCCCAGGGGTGTGCTAACCCACCAAGTGGGTCCACACTTGCATGTGTGGGTCTAAAATACTATGATTTGTCCCAGGTCTCTGATCATGTGTTTGAAGAGGTAAACAATGAATGAATATAGCAGTTTGAAGGTGGCTTAAAAACTTTTTTTTTTTAAGTAATTTGAAAGTGATTCCAAACAAACTAATAAAAATAATCCATGAAAAAAAAAAGCATTAAAACTACATTGTAATTAACAGAGATATTAGTGAGTTAATCCGCCCACCTATATCAGGCAACAAATTTCAAGCAACGAGTATCATTATGTATATTCTGGCAACGACATGAACAAAAGCGTACTCCACACCTTATGCACGTGTAGCTAGCAGCAAAACCACAAACCGTGCAGAAATGCCGGCGGGAGGTAGAGCTTGGAGGTCCGACGGCTGCCTTTATGTATGATGGAACATGTGGAGGCAAAGACTCCAAACTTGCCTGTTTTTTTTTGTGCACATATTGTAGCTCAACATTAAAACAAACTTTTTATTGTAATCTGATAACGACCAAGAAGTAGAAGATGTTTCATCCTAACCTCGTGCAGAAGCTCCATAAAAGTTTTGGGAGCCTTCTTAGCTTCAAGTGCTTTTGCCTGCCTAGTTTTGCGCTTGGTACCTTTTGATTGCCGCTTTTGTATGTATGCTGTGCTTGGAAGGTCAAAAAGGGGGAAATATTAGTGACACTATATACCAAACAACACCCGAGGGCATAGAAAAGTGTAATTTAAATTCACTAGAAACAGAATTTAAGTGGACAGGTTCAATTATTCCTTGGAGATTTATTTTATTTTCAAGTGATTTTTCTATATGGAACTAAACACATTGAAACACAAAGAGCACAAAATGGAAGTCGAAAAGGAAATCATATATTAACCCACTTTGAAGTCTATGGAGAACAAAAATAAAAGAAAAGAAAAGAAAAAAAAAAAGAAGGGAAGGAAGAAGAGTTCCAAATAAATAGAAATGAGTTCACCAAGATACCAAGAAAATGATGAAATCTCAAATCTCTTAAAATCGCAACACTTCCCACTGGAAATCCTATGGCTTTATTCCTTCCCAAAGTCGACGACAATTAGCCCACACCAACTTGGCTCTTCACCAAAATAAGCGACTATGCAACAGCTGCCTTCGTGATTTTGTCCTAGAATTTTAAGAAAGACACCAACTCAAACACACTCCCGTTCCACATTTATAAGCTTCTCACCGCTTGGAAAAACATGATCTTGATCTTTTCAGCACCACTCGTACACAAAAGCTTCTCACCGCTTCAAACTAATAAGAAAACCGGTTATCAGCAGAACTTGTCGAAGACTTAAGAGAATCATATCACCAGTCTTTTAAATTACTTCTCCACCTATCCTCTTGCTAATTAGGTCGGCAATAATTTGGAGCAAGGAAGTAAGTTGACCCAACCGCCAAATTCTACTTCGGAGAGCTGCATTATTAAATGCAGATTCCATCCCCCTCCATTATCATCCCAACAGTCAGGAATTGTAAGATCCCTAGAAAAATCCACATGAATGAGCGTAGAATATCTCACCCTCGGTGACTGATAAGTAATTCAAGTACCATTGCAAGTACTTGGACAATTAACGAGTACTAAAATTCCAAAGGCAAAGTAATATCTGAATTTCGTTAATGGCCATCTACCAATACATAACAGAAATATAGCCATTCCAAAGATGTAGAAAATAAAAATTTCTCGAGCATACACTACAGCCTAAAGCCTAAGCAATATCCGAAATTATAAATAACAAGAATCGAACTACCAAAAGCAATGCCACTCGGGAGTGAAGAAAGCGGTCACTGACCATGCTGACTTACTTGCACGTTAGATTAACTGATGGAATCGTGAAAGTAAGCAGTACAGAAAGGAATGGGAAAATATTAGATGCCTAACATTTGATAGATGTAATTGTAGAAAACACCGTACTAGAAAAATAAATGCCAAGGCGGAAAATATATGAATGAAAAACATCGTATTAACCTTGTTCGTCATCATCGAGAGAAGCATCCTCGTCGTCAATGTTTTCGATCAATTCCAGTCCAGCGTTGTCATTTTCCAACGCCTCCAGACGAGCAAGGGCAGCCTGGAAGAGCAGAAAATCCAATACTAAAACTTAGATTGTAGGTATAGAGTCCAGGCTCCTATAATCAATTATACCACAAATAACTCAAAACAAAGAAGCAAAATCTAGTTCGACAAACCTGAGAACGATTGTCGCTGCTCGCTAGGGCAGCAACCATCTTAGGAGCAACCTTCCGAGTGCGACTCGACATGCGTCGGAATGAATTTGTAGCATCATCATCCATTTCTACCTACAAACGCACACTCAGATCCTTGTATGAGAAAACGAAGCGATTGAAATTTAGAGAGCGCGATGAAACAGGTAAAGAATTCACATCAGAACTAATACAGTACAAAATCGCATTAGACGAGTTGTAGTAAGAAAAAACCCTAGGTTTCGCATGATCCTTAATTCCAGCCCTGCGAAATTGGTTAAAAGCACTGTTCCGAATGACGGTATCAACTCAATCGTAATGTACACTGTGAGAACGAAACAGAAATGAGCGAAAGAGAGAGAGTTCCAAACCCTACCACCCGGAGAAGAAGAGGAAAGGAGAATGCGACTCGATGGACTTCCGATGGATGTTCACTGTTCTCAACTCCGGCGACAGTCGTTACTTATGCAGGAAATTTACGCCGACGACATTCCGAGAAGCAAATCCACCGTGGCGTTAACAGGCAAACACTAACACTGATTACCGCTCTTATTATATTTTTGGCTATTTATACTATAAATATATTGGTGTCTTGAATTTTCTGTTTCAAATAAAAATCATAGAAAAAATAATAATAATATCTTTTTATTAGGCAAACTAATATTATACGTTAAAAATATATTTAGAAGTCTTAATTAAAATTTTAATGATTTAATTTATTTAAAATTTTAGAGTATATTAACATAGTCTTGAAAGTTATAAATTTTACTTTAAAAAATAATTAAATCATTATTATTATTATTTCAATTATTTTTAATTAAAGATGGTAAGTATATTAAAATTATATATAATTTTACATTGAATCTACTATGATTTATTTTTTATTTAATTAAATAATAAGAAATTAAAACCATTTAAACATTTTTATTATAAAAAGTAAATAAAAACATAAATAATTAACTAGTTGAATCAAGGTCCGGCAAAGGGAGGAAGTCGGGGCTCCGCAGGCCCATCAACTGGGAAGCGTGTAATGGGCCCAGCAATAGGGTGTAATAGACGGCCCATTAATAGGGAGGGCCCATCAAAATATGAAGGGTACAATGGGTAAATCGATTCCATATTAAATTAATATTTATAATAATATGAAATTACAACATTAATCTTTTAAATTTTAAATTTGTTTTATTATTCCATAAATTTAAAAAGTAACATTTAATTTCATATTCAATATATTTTATTTTTATTTTTATTTTTATATTTAATTGGTCGATGTGTTTTTAAAAATATATAAATTTAATATGTAAAATAATTTAGAATGTCGCGATTTTATTAAGCACATAATTCAATTTTATGGCTATATTGATTATTTAATTTATTTAATTTTATTGAATATGTTTAAAAAAATTGAAGAACTAAGTTTTAATTTAATTTTTAAAAAAATAATAATAAATTATATTAAATGTATACAAAAATTTGCTTTTAGCATAAATTATTTTTATTAAGCCTCTTTGACTTAATCCAATAAATGTGAAGATTCCTCGTTTTTTTTTATTGCTTTCTTTTTATGTTTAATATTATAATTGTTAATGTTATCCAATTGATTTAACTTTCCAAAACACATTTATATTGAATTAATAATTGATAAAACTATATTAAAATCAATTAAAATAATGTATTAAATACATCATTTCTATTTTAAATGTTTTTTAAAAAATAAAATAACTAATTCTCACAAATAAACTAAGTAAATACATTAGATCCATTATTCATTAGAATTAATTTAAGAAATCTTGTGTGCTATAATTAACTGTAGCTCAATATAAATCTTTGTTTATTTTAATAAAACAGTTAATTATTTTATTAAAATTACTCGTGAAATTTAAAATTAATTAATTTATATTCATGATGTATTATATTAAAAAAAATAAATAAATAAGTCGACGGATATAATCTATTATTTATAATTAATTTTCATTTAGTCCATATTTCAACATTATCTAAAATTTCTGGAATTAATTTTATAAAGAAAACGCAATGTTGTCTTGCATGTACCCATTACTATTTAACCTTCTTCATTCCACTCCTCTCCATCCGACCGTCCACGTGTCCTCTAATGCCTGAATTAAATCTTTGTGTAAAAAAAATTTCACCATATATTTTTTACAGCCATGGAAGAGAGAGATAAAAAAAAATACCTGTAAAAAACCGAGCTGGAAAAAGCAAGAAGAAGCCATGAAACTCAGGATAGATAGCGCCGGCAAGCGGCGGCGGAAATGAACATTCCGGTGGTGTTTCATTCGACGGCGCTATCCCTCCTGAGCTTGACGGATTCTCCCGTGCTACTGCCGGTTGCCGGAGCACCATGTCGGCGGGCGAGGCGAAACCCGGAAAGCCATGGAAGAAAAGGAGCAAAGAGAGGCATTTTTATAAGAAGAAAAACATATAATTTTAGGCAGTTAGTTAAATCAATTGAATTAATAATAATTAAAAAATAAAATACGTTTGCCGACTACGATCTTGAGGAATGTGTGCCGTTGGAGTTGGGGAGATTGGATGGTGGCCGTCGGATGGAAGAAAAATATAAAAATTAAATATTTATTAAGGGAATAAACTTTATGGCGGGTCAAAGGACTTTATGGGCACCAAATTTCAATTGAATGCTCTTCACTAACCCAACATTAATGCGTTAATGGAGAGTTAAGCTTTTTGGAATCTGTTTAATTAGTCAAAATTATCATCATTACTTAATAATCCTTACATTAATTATACTTACTCAACCAATAATATTAAATATTACATACCCTTTTAGAGAAACATTTTGTAGAGATCGAACAATATCGGTTAGTAATGAACTTATAATATTACAAATGGTATTAGATCCAGATACCGAGCATTATGCCAACAAAAAATAATGACCCCCAAGTGGGTGGATTATGAGATCTCACATAGGTTGAAGAGTGGAAACCGCTCAAATAATCGCATTTTTAAACCGTGAGACTAACAACGCTACATAATAAACAAAAACCGATAATATTTATTAGCAGTGAACTTGTAATGTTACAAATGATATCAAATCCAGACAACCAAACACAACAAAAAAACACTGGCCTCTAAAGAAGTGGATTATGAGATCCCACATGGGTTGAAGAGTAAAAACCTCTCGAATAATCGCATTATTAAACTGAGACTAACAACGATACGTAACAAACAAAAATTGATAATATATATTAGCAATGAACTTATAATGTTACAAATGATATTAGATCCAGACATCGAACAATGTGCCAACAAAAAACGCTGACCTCCAAGAAGGTGGATTATGAGATTCCACATCGGTTGAAGAGTGGAAACCTCTCGAATGATCGCATTTTTAAACCGTGAGACTAACAACAATACGTAACGAATCAAAACTGATAATATCAGCAAGAATCTAATATACGACATTATTAGAACCAAAACAAAGAAAGAAACAGAAGAAAAAATTTATATACGACATTATTAGAACCATCAGCAACGCGTAGAATACAAATTATAAGTTAAATTTGATACGTACTCCTTTGACTATAAGTGGTAGCATTCGCCCTTTGAGACAATCCCTCCTGCAAAATTTTACACAGATCCAACAAAAAAGGCGTCTTTGTTGCAATAGCAGGGAAAACAGGGATAGAGTAAAAGAAGAAAGAATATCACCCGATCCTCTCTGCTTCCTATTTTCATGTCATTTCGTCACTGCTTCCATTGAGCTCTTGGAAGAGAGATTTTATCGCTTCGTATGTCGACCAGCAAATAGCAGCAGCCGGAGCGTGAAAGAGCATCCTTGGAACCCATCCCCTCATAAGCCCTCGATATCCGTCCTTCTTGAGTATTGTCCTAACGACGTCTTCTATCGACCCGCTTTTGAATCTATCGCAGCCACATACACCCTGGGGATCCACAAATGTGAATTTAAGGTTAGGCTATGAATCTAGCGCTAGTAACAGGTAATTTAGCATGTGAAATTGAGCCTGCTTCTGCACCATAACCATCGTACAATCCTTAACACATTCCATTTTTATGCATACTTCAGTTGATCATGCATCCTTTACATGTTCATGAAGCATTCATATCATGCTGCCATATCATTATAACAAGAACTTAAATTATACAGTTCATACATTTCTTATCACTAAAAAACTAAAAAAATCTATATCGTCTGTTCTCCTTTCAATTCACATGTAACCTGTAGCAGAGTTCACTATATTTGTAGTACTTTTCAATTTTTTTCGTGACGAACACAGGTACATCCTATAATATTCCAAGGAAAAGAAGAAATCCAATGGTTTTTTTTTTTTTTTTTTTTTTGTGGGGGGGGGGGGNGGGGGGGGGGGGGGGGGGGGGGGGAGCGAACGAAGCATGATTAGTTATCAAAACGTCCTAGATATAGGGATTAGAGAAGACCAGACTATCAAAAGACTCCACTTGTTCCATAAGAAAGGAGTAACTGACAAATTCCTAAGAGAGAGAGAGCCAACCAAGCAGGGTCCATCAAAAGATAAACTAACACATACAAAATCGACAATCTCTTGGATGTTTAACTTCAGAAGGTGGTAATTGTAGATTGAACAAATTGAGATAAGGATTGTTGTTTAATTCACAGAACACACAGTACACAGTCCATTTCAGTCCACAAAACCTTCAAAGATTCATATAGACCGGTAAGATGATGATGATCTTCGGATCGGAAATGGATTCCGCTATCCATCCCTGACCCCTCCTTGTTCAGAATAATTTGATATTTAAATAATTATTATATAATAAATAGGAGAACTCTGTAAAAAAGAATTTAAAGAAAAAGGGTATGGCATATTTTTCCTCCCCTGTTCTTCGTCAACACTTATTGACCCTCAGTTACTCTCTGGACCTTCAACGCTATTCTTTCAAACTATGTTAGCAGATATAATTTTAACCTTTAGTTATAAATCCTAGGTTGTAATAGCCCAAGCCTACCGCTAATAGATATTGTCCTCTTTAGGCTTTCCTTCAAAGTTTTTAAACGTTCTTCTAAGGAGAGGTTTCCACACCCTTATAAGGAATGCTTCGTTACAATGAGTTTGAGAGAGAGTCCTGCCTTTTCTTCTCTTGCCTTTTCCCCCTAAGAACATAACCATTCTTAGCTTTAGAATGTTGTTAGGTAGAGCTTCCAGAATAAGAGCAAAAGTATTCTAAATACAAGCACTTCTCTTTTCAAAGTTCGCACCTGCTCTAAGGTGAAGACATTGGAGACACCAAAGTTTTTCCTTAATAAGTTCACTTGCAGATTTGAACCTGCAACATTGGGTAGGTATTAAGAGACTGCGAGCCTCAGCCAATGAGGCCGCCACTTAGGGGTCTCTAATATGAGCACTGGTAAAAAATGTTTAATGACAGAATATTTTGATGCTAGGTACTAGTACTTGTCGCTTTTCGGTCAATCACTCAAAGAACCTTGGCCCAACAAGTGCTTTGGAAATTTAAATTTTCAAAGGGAAAGTTCTTTTGGCATGACAAAAGCACCCCAAAAAATGACCTTAATCTAGCTCTAAAAATACATCACCTAAGTAATGGCCCAAGCCCACCCCTAATAAATATATTGTCCTCGGTTTTTTCCTTTTGGACTTTCCATCAAGGTTTTTAAAAGGCGTCTGTTAGAGAAAGGTTTCCATACCCTTATAAAGAATATTTCGTTCTCCTACCCAATCGACGTGATCTTGCAATCCACCCCCTTTGGGACCCACCGTCTACTCTGGCACTCGTTCCCTTCTCTAATCCAGGAGGGACCCCAATCCATCCCTTTGGAACCCAACGTCCTAGCTAGCACACTACCTCATGTCCACCCCTTTCGGGGCTCAATCTCCTCGCTGGCACATCGCTCGGTGTCTGGTACCATTTGTAACGGTTTAAGCTCACCGCTAGTTGATATTGCTTTCTTTGGGCTTTTCCTATAAACACTTATGCTAGAGGAGTTTTTCACACTTTTATAAAAAATGCTTTGTTCTCCTCCCAACCAATGAAGGATCTCACACATTTATAAAAAATTAGCTGAGTCTACAACCAAATTATTAAATGGGGTACCTGACATTGTAGTTGAGTCTTAACCACATCAAGCGGCGTTGTAACAAATGCAGCTGAGGCTCCAGCAGCAGCTCCTGCCGTCGCATGAACGATCCACTGTTCATTATTTACAATGTCTGGAGAAACCTCCAGCAAACCTCTCTTTGCAGCTTCATAAGTAGCAAAATGCACAGCAGTAAATGGAGCATTCATTAACACTGTAGTTCTATATGATGCGTAAAATGCTTTAAACCCCTCGTCTCTGAGGACCCTTGTGACACAATCCAAAACCCCCTTGTAGGGACTATTACTCAGCTGCAGCCTCTGTTTAACCATATCCATCGGTGTAAAAACAGCGTCACTCGCCACCGTTGCACAGACGCCAGAAGCAGCGTGGGCGACAGAATTATTAGGATCCCCACCAGAGAAAAACTTCTTACAATCCTCGTAGACTGTAAAATACACAGCATGTGCAGGTCCAGCTCCAAGACCCATAGCACCAATACCACGATAAAAACCAGCAGGTCCCTCTGTCTTCAAAATTGACCGAAGCGCTTGTCGAACTCCAACAGATTTAATTGGACAAGAACCAAGGGCTTGCATATGGGTCTTGACTGTATCAACCGGAAACATAGCCATATGCTCAACAGACCCAGCGATTGAACCAGCAATCATGAACTGCCAGAACCGGAGACCATCATGAGCTGAGACCACAATCTCGGGATGAAAATCTGGAGGCGACGGTACCGGGCGAAAATCCGGACTCTTCAACTTAGCCGAGGCTTCGGTCGCCTCGGTGGCCATTGAAATACGAACCCCAAGTTGAAAATTTGCAGAAAATTCTTAAACTAACCGAGTTGCTAACATGGAAATCGACTTAACTACAACAAACATAAGGGAATTCAAACTTTCCAACGAGAGAACAATCGGTTCGGAGTTCAGTCATAAACCAATCCAATTTCCAACAAAATAGGAGATCGATTGAACCCTGTCTTCATCCAAATGGCCAATTGGGCAAACGAAACGGCGAAACCAAATTTCTGGGACTGCTAAATAGGTCGAGAGAAGGTGAAGACGAAGAAGAAGAAAACGAAATCAGTAGATAACTTTGGCGGTAGCTTTGGTGGGTCATTAGGGTTCTAGAAATTAGGGCTTTGTATATTTTGACAGAAACGAATTGATAATTTTACCGTCTCATTCCTAACTTTTGACGTCGCGCTCTTTCTTCAATTGGGCACTTAGGCCCATTATCCCGCCATCGAGGCCCATTATCTTAAGATTGGGCCTTTAGGTTCACTCTCTAGCCATCAAGGCCCATTTACACAATGAGCCTGAAACGGTAATTGACATGATATATAAAAATATATACCGCTAAATTTCTCAATTAAATACGGAAAAAAATACTATTAAAATATTATTTAATTGGAGAATTAATGAAATTTATATATAATTTTTTAATTAATTAGTTTTTTCATATATTTAAATTATCTAGAGATCCCAAATAATATTTTTGGGTAATGTTTTATCAATTAAAAACTCACCAGCTACCATCATTAAATATTAAAAAAATTATACTTTATAAATTTAAAAATAATATTTTTTATAAATTCACTCGGGTCATTTTCATAAATACGAAGAGTTTTGGGTTGAGCAAACCATTTAAAATTTTATTTTATACCTATATTATACATATTTTAATTTAATTAATAAAGTATATTTTGACATTTGTTCTAAGTATATAAATTTTATAAATAATAATTTAATGTATAAAAAGTTAGTTTGTAAATGTAACAAAAATTAGGGGTCCGGAATTTAGTTCTCAAAATATTTGGGTTGAGTTTGCAATTTTTTTAAAGTTGATGGTTTGATTTATTAATTAATTAAAAAAATCCTAAAATTCTTCAAAAAAATAAAAAATAAAAAATAAAAATCTGTTCACTTTTAAAAAACCCATTAAAAACCCTTTTCCCACTCCGACATTCTACATTTCTTTGTCTCTCTCTCTTCAGTAATGCCTCCGAATCTTCGCCTCATTTTCTTCTTCTTCATTAATCTCTCCGCCCTAAGCTTTTCTCCGGCCTCAGCCGTCGGATTCAACTGGGGCACGGCGGCGTCCAACCCTCTTCCCCCGGTCAAGGTTGTGGACCTCTTGAACTCTAACAACATCACCAAAATCAAGCTTCTCGATCCCAATCCCCTCGTCCTTCAGGCCTTATCTGGCTCCAATGTTCAAGTCACCATCGGCATTCCCAATCTCATGCTCAAAATCCTAAACTCTTCCAGAAAAGCTGCCGAAAGTTGGGTTCACGATAATGTCACTAGGTATCTCTCCGGCGCCACAGGCGGTGTTCGAATCGAGTACGGTTTTTAACTCCATCTCTTGATCTTGATCATCTGGTTCATTCTGGTTTAGGTTTCTTCGAAGTTTGAGCATGTAGATTTTTTTCATTCTGATGAATTCATTCCGTATTGAGCATTAGCTCGAATGGCTATTAACAACGCTTCAATTGAAGACTGAATTTATTACGAATAGTTTTCGTGTCTGTTTGTTTAATTTTCTCCTGCAATTTATATGTCCTATTTCAAAGGTTGCACAATCAATGATAGTAGATATCGGCAATAGACTAATAGCTTAGGAAATTAATGGCTACCAAACCGAAGTACATAATATTGGCCCATCTTCATGATGGGAAGAACAAGTCTTCTATATTCCAATTCAATTCAACGAGAGATCTTGAACTAAGAAATAAATTCTTAACCCTAAATTTAGAAAGAGTGTCTCGAGCAATTTCAATAATGTTGTTGATGTTCCCTGTGTAATTAATGCTAATATTCATAATTTCACATGCTGGGGGGTGGGTGGGAGTTTTCTTCTGGTTATACTCTGTTTTGTGGTGGGTGCATAGCTAAATTAGACAATGTATTCCACGCCATTTTTCTAGTGAGATGCCAGGAAATGGACTGTCCAGCCCCCAAAAATGGCTTGTTGCTTGTTCTAGTGAGATGCCAGGAAATGGACATACCACGTCATTTTTCTAGTGAGATGGAGTTTGAGGGTACATTTTTGGGGGCTTGTTGCTTGTTCGGAGAGAGGAAATACTGACTGTTTCCCATTTTTTTCCTCTCTGAGAAGGTTTTTAGGACAGTTTGTGAGGTCCCACAATGGTTGGAGAGTTAAACAAAGCATTCCTTATAAGGGTGTAGAAACCTCTCTCTAGGAGATGTGTTTTAAAACTTTGAGGAGAAGCTCAAGAAGAAAAGTCCAAAGAGGAAAATATCTACTAGCGGTGAGATCCCACATCGGTTGGAGAGAAAAACGAAACATTCCTTATAAGGGTGTAGAAACCTCTCCCTAATAGATGCGTTTAAAACTGTGAGGCTGACAGTGATACGTAACGGGCCAAAGTGGACAATATCTACTAACGGTGAGCTTGGACAATTACAAATAATATCATAACTAGGTATTGGGCGATGTGCCAGCAAGGACGCTAGCCCCCAAAGGTGGTTGGATTGTGAGATCTCACATCTGGTTGGAGAGGAAAACGAAGCATTACTTATAAGGGCGTGCAAACCTCTCCTTAGGAGACGCATTTTAAAACCTTGAGGGGAAGCCGAAGAGAGAAAAGGGAAATTCCAAAGAAGACAATATCTGCTAGCAGTAGAAGAGGAAAAGTCCAAAAAGGATAATATCTATTAGCAGTGGGCGTGTGTGCTCTTATACAATTCTTGAGTTCTTGTTGTTGTCATGACTGTCAAATGTTACCCTCTCACTTTTGAGGTTAGAGCAACCAATTGCTTGCTTTTTTTAGATTGATTGAGCTAACGTCTTATTGACCTTCTAACATTCGGTCAGTTCTACTCAGTTCAGTGATAACTAAGAAATTTTTGGATTAATTTAGGTCTTAGATGGGTGATCAATCTCATATCAGCAAATGATTTATCTGTCTCTCTCTAAAGCTACGAAGCTCCAAACTTTTTAATATCCTTTCGATTGGAATGTGTATCATTTTCTCTCTTATGCTTGCTATGATGTTTGCAGATACATAGCAGTTGGAGATGAACCATTTCTTCAAACTTATGGGGATCAGTATTATCCGTATGTCATGGGAGCAGTCGCCAACATCCAGGGAGCTATAGCCAAAGTAAACTTGGAGAGTAGGATAAAAGTTGTAGTCCCGTGCAGTTACGACGCGTTTCTGTCTGAATCTGGCCTTCCTTCGAAGGGACACTTCCGACCTGAATTGAACAAAACAATGATCCAGCTCCTAACATTTCTTACCACGCACAGATCACCTTTCTTTGCAACCATTTCCCCATACTTAAGTCTGCGTCAAAACAAGAATATTTCTCTCGACTTTACCCTCTTCAAGGAAACAGCACGCCCCCATAACGATAGCCGTAGAACTTACAAAAACACCTTTGAATTAAGCTATGATACCTTAGTTGCAGCTTTATCAAAGATCGGGTTTTCGATGGTTGATATAGTTGTGGCACAGATTGGGTGGCCTACTGATGGAGCATGGAATGCTAACTCATCAACAGCTGAAACGTTTATGAAAGGCTTGATGGATTTCATCCACAGCAGATCAGGAACCCCCCTACGACCTCGTCGTCCACCACTCGAGACTTATATCTTAAGCATATTAGACGAAGATCAGAGAAATATATCCACTGGGCCATTTGAGAGACACTGGGGAGTGTTCACTTTTGATGGTCAAGCTAAGTACCACCTAAACTTCGGTCAGGGCACAAAAAGCCTTGTGAACGCCCAAAATGTTGAGTACCTCTCCCCCAAATGGTGTGTTCTCAACAACAACAAAGATTTATCTAATGCAAGTGCTAGTGCTTTGGAGGCATGTTCGGTCGCTGACTGCACTGCGCTCGTTCCGGGCGCATCTTGCTCTGATATTGTTTGGCCTGGTAATATTTCTTATGCATTCAATAGCTACTATCAGCAGAATGATCAAAGAGCAGACAGTTGTGACTTCGGAGGGTTGGCCCTGATCACAACGGTCGATCCATCGAACAGTAACTGCAGATTTCCTGTTCAAATTCGAACTTCGAATTCTCATTCACTTGATGCTTCCTCTCTTCTGAAGACAATATCATTATCAGCACTTTTTTGGCTATATCAACTGGTTTACCTCCAATAGACCAATGTGACTTTCCTGTACGCTGTATCACAGCTTCGAGATCTAAGAAACAAGTCGTTTTTCAGGATCAACCGTTATCTTCAAATGAGGAGACGGCTCTCTACCTCCAGATTTCGTGGTATGCTTCCTTTCTCCATTTTGGTTCCGATTCGAGTCGGGAAAAGTAAGTATATTTTCCATGTATATCTAGAACATGATGCTAACTTTGTCTAATGCTTTTTGAGGTTAGAGAATCTCGCATGAACTGAAGAACCCTCTTGTTATAATTGTCTAACAAGAACATAGATTCCCATTTACCTTATCACATGGCCTCAATTTTCTCTGCTCTCACCATATAATTGACAAGATTTTGTTCAGATCATTAGCCATTGGATCTAGGAATTCAACTATCAGTTAGTTCAAACAACTCAATTTCTAGGTTTCTGCTAGAAACTGCTTCTCTATTTCAGCTATTATAGCTCTAAACAAAAAATCAAATAATTATCAAACGTATGGGTATGAACTGGCCATGTGGTTTTGTAAGTCTTTGTAAGTCTTTCGAAGTTACACTGTCTTGATTGTCGAGTTTTTTCTTCTCCCTAGAATTTATTGTTTGAAATTTGAAACTTGTTCTAATACGTAAGCACGTTAATATTTTATTAACAAACCTGTTTGAATGTTCATTTTAGAAGCGTAGAGCTTCAAAAAGACGATTTCAATGTCTTTTATGTGGCTCAACTCAAATCGAAAAAAATGTGATTGATTAAGTTAATATTTTTGACGCTCCAAGCGTGTTCTTTCATTCCTATTCCTATTTTTCTAGGTGTTCATTAGTCAAGCTCATGCTTTCAATGAGTTTCTTATTTTCTTGCTTTATTTGCTTCGTTTTTATTCGATCTTATATATGAGATTACTTGATAATGTTCTTGCCTAAATAAGAACAGCTAAACCAAATAACATTCTTCTTCTTTCTATTTAATGAAAATCTATTGATTTAATCCACAAGAAATCAAGCTGAGTTAGTGAAATTTGATGCATAAAAGAAGATTATTGTGTATCATCGCCATGCGCCTCCTGCAAATTGCTACGGCGGCGCTGCACAAAGGACTGCATTTTTGCCCCATATTTCCCTCCGAATGACCCTCTCAAGTTCGCCATTGTTCATAAGATCTTTGGCACCAGCAATGTCAGAAAAATGTTGCAGGTCTGACTCGAATTTCTAACATTTTAGTTTTTAACTGTATGATTGCTTATTCATATTGTAAATGGTGCGTTGATCTTATTTAGAAGATCTCAGTTGATCAGAGAGCGAATACTGTGAATAGTATAGTATATGAAGCAAATGCTAGAATGCGAGATCCAGTATATGGATGGGTAGGAATAATCTCATTTCTGCAAAATCAAGTGTTCCAATTGGAAATGCAACTAGCAGAAGCACAGGCGGAGATCTTAAGCTTTCAAATGCAGCAACCAGTAGCTCCGATGACATTCTCGACGACCCGAATAGATCAAAGTTACATGTTTGAATATTCAAGTAAGTAAGTTTGATCACTCATGAGTACTCAAAGCTCAAGTGAGTAACGATCGTTCTTTTTACCTTGTGATTGGCTAAATAGGAGTGAAAATGGAGATTATATTCTCCCTACACGTCCCACCCTACTCTCCTTTATATATGTATATATGTATATATATATATATATATATATATATATGATTGATTAAAAACCACGCACTCTTCCAATCAAGAGGTGGGCATATCATAGGAAGGTTGAGCTTGGTCGGAAGTAAAGTAACATCAAAATTACAGACAATGAATATATTGTTTTCATAATAATAGCCACCTTTCGAATTTTTCTTAACACCACTACCAAAGGATTCTATTGTAATAGAACTGACCAATCCCTGCTCCTCCATAAACTCGAGTAAGAAGACATCGAAGGAAAACGTCTCAGACTTTTCCATTTTATCAGACATATGAACATTAGAAATGCTCTTTTTAGAAGAGTGGGATTTTAATAACCTAGAATGTGTACGGACAGAAGAGTCAGAGTTGATTAATTAAAGAAGCAGCACGAACCATACATTCATTTATAATATTTTTTAAAAATATATATGTAAAGAAAATTGGAAAATAAATAAATTCAACAATAAAAAATTGAAAAACATGTGAAAGACTCTTCGTAGGTACTTTTTTTTAAAAAATTATTATTATTATTTATAATTGCCAAAAATAAACAATCAGATTAAATCATAAAGAGGTGGAAATCTGGTTGAGAAATGCATCAATATTGGCATCGGAAGAACCATCTTCCGCCGCCGCTCGCCGGCAAATCTCTCTGAATTTCATCACATTTTTCCTCATCTCCCTTCCTTCAACGCTCTCTGAGTTCATAAATCTCTTCACAAACTCCGCAATCTCCACTTTCGTCACCAAATTCCTACCCCCAACTGCTTCAAATCGGACCCCAATTTTCCAGTCCTCCACAATCTTCTTACTGTTCGGAACTTGGTCGCAGAATATCGGCCATGTCAGCATCGGAACGGCGGCGTAAACCCCTTCCAGAGTCGAGTTCCATCCGCCGTGAGTCCAAAACCCCCCGACGGCGTTGTGGCACAGAACCCTCAATTGCTCGCACCATTCAACCACCATCCCAGTTTCCCCATTCACGCCTTTCAATCGATCGTCGTCCCCACGCGCCACCCACAAGAACCGAACGCCGCTGGCTTTCACGCCAGCGACGATCTCGTCCATTTGGGCACTCGAAACTGAAAGAAAGCTCCCCTGCGAAACGTACAGAACAGAGCCTTCTGATTGGGAGTCCAGCCACCGGAGATAGTTGTTTGTGCCGCCGCCGCAGCCGTTTGGGGCCGAGCTTCCAAGCTCGAAATATGGTGTACAGGGCCCGACCGTGTAAACTGGGAATGGAAATTTCTGTTTCAAAACATCGATTACAGAGGATTCGAGCTCGTAAACAGAGGTGGAGATGAGAAATTGGGCTTTGTCAATAGAACGCGCCGCTTCCAATGTTAAATCGATGACTTTCCGGCCATCGCCGGAGAAGAAAGTGGGAAGATCGGCCAGACGAGTCTCGGAAACTCCGGGAATATAATCGACAATCTCTCCACCACGCTCTAAGTAACAAAAAAACAACACATTTTCGTCAAAAAAAAAAAAAAATAAATAATAATAAATAAATAAAATAATAACAATAATAATAAAATAAATTTGCCCATAATTTTATGTTCAAAATGGACCTAGAGAATTGGAAGCCGAACTTGTAGCCAAAATCAAATGATGTATTTTGTTCGAGGGCTCAGAAGAAAAGAGCCGAACACTATTAAGAAGAAACTATTTGAGAGATATATAGACCACCGTCGTGAAAGTTTTATAGTGTATTTTGTTGGAGGTGTGAATGGTTGAGAGGCTGAAAGTGGACAAAATCAGTAGGATAGGGCGAATAGTCGGTGATTTCTAATGATAACAAATTCAATAACGGGAATATTTTGGAGTACCTGAGAGGTCAGCTGGGAAATGGCCATTTTCCTCCAAAAGGTCGAAATGGTAATATATGGAGAGAACTGTAACCGACATGGGCCAGAATGAAGCCACCGGAATATTGAAGCGGTTACCCAACCGGGTCGCCCACGTAAGGAAGGAATCGGCGACGATAACCACCGGCGGCGGGTGGAGGTGGGTGAGTAGATTCTGAACGGGAGCCTCCATTACGGTGTTGACTGCTCGGAAGAAACCGGGGAAGTCGTCTGCGCGGCCGAGCTCAGAGGGGATGACGTTCGGGAAAGTGAGGAATTGGATGTTTTGGGGTTTGGGAACGGCGGCGAGGAAGGTGCGCCACTCGTCGGTGACGATGAAGGAGATGAGAAGGTCGGGATTTTTGAGAGAGAGGAGCTTGCAGAGGTTCATGAAGGCGTTGATATGGCCTCTTCCAGGGTAGGGTACGGCGGCGAGGTGGGTGAGCCGCCGTGTTGAAGAAGTGGCCGGAGCCATTTTCAGGGAACCAAAATGGAAGTGTGGACTGTGGAGGAAGAAGAAGGGGCAGTCGGATAAGGATAACGGTCACGGTGCCTAAATATTACATTTACCCAACAACCGTAAAAATAGTTCTGTAAATACCGTGGTGAATATTGATAGGTAAAAATATTAGATAAAATTGTATGAATTTCATAAATTCGAACACGTGTTGAGCTGCGTCGAGACATTTTAACTCTTTTAATTTAGGCCTTCCAGAAAAGGCCCAACTCCACGATGGAGACTGCCGTTGATGCTGACATATGATTAGAAAAATCAAGTTCGGCAGGGGCCCAACTTACAACCGACCGCATTGGAATATGCCCCCCTTCTCTCCCCATGATCGCCCTCCACCGACGGCCATGATTTCGCCATTGGAATAACATTAAGCGAAAACTGTGGACCATGTTTCAGACACGACATCCCCACATGGTTTTTCTTGGTCCTTTCAGTTTTTATTTTTAATATTTAATAATAATAATAATAATTATTATTTTAATTTATGTTCTAATCGTTTAAAATTAAAACACACGAAATAAAATTTGAGAGTTTTATTAAAAGTAAATTTTAATTTTATATTTAATATATAATTTATTTTTTTAATTTTTTTAATTTATCAAATAGATAGAAAATTAAAAATTAAAAAATAAAAGTTTTAATAAAAATAAAGTTACTTTTAATCTAAACTTTTATTATTTTAAACACTAAACCTTTTAATTTTAACCCTAATCAATTTTACTCGACTTTTAAATTTTTACCCTACTCAATTTCGTATTTATGATTAATTATAGGCTTTTTTTAAAAAAATTATTTTGGTAATTTCACATGCCTTTTGGTTGTCTTTACCCTTTTTCATTACTTCATAGGTAAAATTCAAGTAGTTATATACAATCATTTAAAAATTATAGGAAAATGACGGGTTTGGGTGAGGGGCGACAACATAGTTCATCGAAAGCAAATGATAGTTTAGTTCGTTAAAGATGCAACAATGACGATATCAAACTCGTCGATAGATGGGAATGGAAAGGTGTGAGATTCCACATTAGTTGGAAACAGGAACGAAATATTCTTTATAAAAGTGTGAAAACCTCTTCTTAATAGATGCGTTTTTAAACTTTAAAGGAAGCGGGAAGATAAAGGTTAAAGAGAATAATATCTATTAACGATGAGCTTAATTTTTTTTTATTAAGGTTGAGGGACCTGATGTGACCTAACCGAAAGAAATCTATGAAAATAATTTTTATATATTTTTTAAAATAAATAATTATAGAGTTCTTATTGCAATATAATTAAAACATGACCATACGTCTCACATGGTATTGGCTACTTGACTTAAAATATTGGCTCCAATAAGAGAAGGCCACGTGGAGAAAATTGACCAATTCGACACAGGCAAACAATCAATTTCCTAAGGTCCCACGTGGCTTCCATAGACATCATCACGTTCACAATGATACACATCACCATCATGATGATCCCCCCGCCGTCACATCAGATCGGAGGTGCAGCATCAACCTCCATGGACTTCATGTACACTGGATTATCACTCTCACATATTTAATGCTAGACCGCCCATAACAATACCACTCTTGAGACTGTACAACAATCTAATGCAATCTTCTCTTCCCTTTTACCCATTTTTCACGCTCTGAACTTCAAATAAAAAAACTCTCCGATTCACAAATCTGCCGCAGTTTTTCATCGTGTTCTTCTCCATGTAGTTGTAGTGAACGGACTCTGGTACGGCGGAGCCATGGAGACGGCATTGGAGTGCTGGTCGAGTAGGGCTAGTACTGATGAGGATTTGGTGGAGCAGGTGCTGATGAGGACGCAGGATAGATCGGAAGGCTCCAAGTCGGAGAGTTCGTTGGCCGTCGGAGAGAAGGAGTCGTCGGCGATGCAGAAACGGTTGCAGAGATTTAGTCGGAACGTGTCGGAGGCGGTAGCGTCGCTTAAAAACTCCTTGAATCTGGACTCTGTTCGCGATCCCTCACCTACGAAAACCGAGGGGTCTAAGAAGGCTGTCTGGGGGAGTGTTGTGCGGAATCTTACTCAGCTCTATCCTGGCAGTCAGTTGCCGGAAAAGCTCGTCTCCAATATTCGCAAGCATTACGATTCATTGCCTCTTAGGTATGGACTCTGATTAGTAATGTCTTGTTGTAAGTTTAAATTCGTGTTAACTGCAGAGATGGATTGAAAAAGAACGATATATATTATCGCGAATTGATTGGAGCTAGTCTAGTAACTCAGCGTCTTAATTGACGATGGATCATATATCTGTTTCGTAAACATTTTCTAATCCTCTTAATTCTGTATTTTATCATCTTTTGTTTTCTATTATGAACAGTTATGCTCAGGCGGGGTTTGACATGAAAGATGTCTTTCTCCACATCAAATTGATAGAACAGGCATCTGTTTATGACCACCCTGCCATCTTATTTCAAGAAGTGACGAATCATGACGTTCAAAAACCTACAATAAAGCTCACGTTTGCTTGCAACTCTTCAGTTTCATGGTCAGCGATGTCTGGAGCGTTGGAGAGCGCTGGCATTCGCTGTGAGAAAATACAGAT